TGAGTTTTAATTATTGTTCACTTTGAGGTTCAAAAAAACAAAAAAAAAGTTCACTTTTTTTTTCCCGACGAAACTAAAGTATTTTATCATCTTGAAATTACAAAAGCATAATACAATATTGGAATTAACCAAAAGATTACAATGACAATCGACAAAACTTCCAAAAAAAATATTATTACATAAGCATATATATGCGCTATAGATTGAAAACGATATAGCTTGAGAAGTTAATTTGACAATGCTTTTCCGAAGTAAAGCCTTATTCGCTAATGAAAATTTAAACCCGTTATTTTCTTCCTCCAGATACGCTCTTCTGTTGACGTGGATTGTGTGTATAGTAAATAATTCTTGACAAAAAAAGTTCACTATGAGGTAAAAACAAAACAAAAGAATCTAAGTTCGTTATTCTCTGCATTTCCTGTTTTTATCACTTCTTAACCATTTCATTTCATTTATGACGACGTCACGGTATAGCCCATACTACAAATCCGTGGGCCTGATAAAAAGTCCATCTTGTTCAACTTTCTCGTTATTTTCCGTTGGCCACTTACTTAACACAGAAACAATCGAATCTACAATCTACAATCTCCAATATATGATACACTTTTCGAATAATATAAATCATCTCACCTCTTAACAACTACGAAATTCCGATGAAAATCATGCACGTTTTAAGCCATAAAAAAAATCATGGAAACAAGTTTCAAGTGGAAGGAAAACAGTGAGAGATATCAAAGAAGAAGAAATAGAAAGGATCTTAAAAGGGTTTCATCATATCGTCAAGACGATCCTTTTTCAACCTTTTTTATTCTCTACAAATCCGACCAGAAAATGGGAAAGATTGGTAGTAGCCATTAAAACCACCAAACCATGCAGAGAAGAAAACACAACCGCGTAGACAAAACTACTTTAAAAAAAAAAGCTATAGCAGCAGCTTGGATACTTCTGCCTCAATTTCAGGGCTTGAGCGCGAGAGCAAACCCAACCTTAGCGCTCTTGTCAATGGCCTTGGTGTCAACTTCTCCTGAGATTGTGAACAATGACTTTGGTTTCCACTCGTGTTGAATGAGTGCACTCGCTATGCCTGCGCTGTTGACACGTGCTTTCACCGAGGTCAACGGGTCAAGCGAATGCTGAGATCCCACGGTTATGGTGTTGTCCTTGGTAGAGAACTTATGGCTCACTTCTGCTCCGACGGCGGTGTTGAACAGCGGGTTAACAAGGTGGTAGTATGAAGCATTCAACAGATCGCCCTTCTCGTTCCTGAGAAAACAAGAAACTCAAATGATGTTATCGAAATCGATGAAAACACACACATATTGTATCCAAATTTGTCACTCAATATTCACTTGAGTAACTTACAGGGTAAGAGAGGTAATTAAATCGTCCTTGGTGAAGCTTAACCCAGCATTGATCTTGGTGAAATTGCCAGATTTCGTGTCGAAGGACACATCAGTACCAATAGCCAAGGTAGTGGTACCAATCGCACCAGAGAAGTTGACAGTTGGGTTCTGAGTCAATCCCATGCTTGTGTTGATACCGGCATAGTCATGCAAGTACTGTAACTCAATCTGTTTTCAAGACGAAACACCATACAAATGTCAAGTTAGAAAAGCCAGATTATCAACTGATCAAACTATAAAACCTAAACAAAAACAGAAGATGCTTTGTATCACAATACCTTGCCGGAATTTTGGTCAGGGACCTTGAAGCTGAAGATTGACTTCAGTCCAGGTGCAGCCTCATCAACAGTAGCAGTGATAAGAACCTGAAACCAATACACATAGAGATGTCAGTTGAATAACCCAACAATAAAAAAAAACTCAGATTTCAAGCTAAGATATGAATATCGGATACAAATATACTTACAGTAGAATCGGTGCAAACTTTTAAATCGGTAGTGACGTTCTTCTGCTTTGACTGAAAAGCTACGTCTCCTAACAATAGGTCATCTTTCTTAGTTCCAGTTGAAGTGATGGCCTAAGGATGTAACATGTTACACAAAGAAATAGTTAGATTATGAGAGTAAAGATGGCCAGGATAGACGAAAAACATCGACACAATACACTTTATTCACCGAATCACAATGTGAAACCAAATCATAATGCTAAACCAACTCAAAGTCTCAAAGATTAAACAAAAGCTGATATGCAAAAAAGACTTACAACACCGGTGGGAGAGTAAGTAGAGATACTGAATTTGTGGTCAGTGTTGTAATCTTTGTAGATAAGATCTGCAAATTCACAAAATCAATACTCAGAACTGAAACAAGATTCTCAAAAGAGAATACAAATGGTGAGATATGCTAAACATAAGAGACAATTACTGCATTTTAAATTGACAAATTCCAGATCCACGATGAACAAATTCAGGGCCAAATTCGAATACCACAAAATGGGAAAAGTAAAACTGATAAATTTGAGCATAAACAGCTTCAACGTTAGTAACGGAGACACTACAAATCGCTGAAATCCATTCCAAATTGAATCTCCTTCCGATCGAATACACAGAATCTACGCATGCATCTCGATGACCAGCAAACAAAAAAGGCTTAAAGGGAACACGAAAGGGAAAAACCCGAAGAGATTGCAAAACTCTACCCAGATCGGAACACCGAACGGAATCCTAATTAGCAACTACCAGATCAACACAGAAGATTGAAGAAGAGAAGGTGCGAGAGAGAGAGAGAATATACCTCTGGCTTTTTTGCCGATGTCGGTGTAGAGACCAGGACCTTTCACCATTTTTGCTTCTCTGAGAAAATTCCAAAGTCTCTGAGAAAATCGCAAGTCGAAGAACGAAACAGATGATAGCTGTAAATGTGGCGTCTATAAGAGATTGAAGAAAACCCTAATTTTTTTTTTTTTTTTCCTGCTGATCAAGCAAAAAATTATCAACCGTTGGATCGAGATTCGCTGCGTCAGGTTTCCTCATCCATAGCCGTCGATATATTTATTCCCCACTCACCAAGAAAATTTTCTATACCGATGGATTGAACGGGTTGACAATCGGTTTAGAGTTTAATGTTTTTCGGTTTATTGACTAATTGGTTTATTTTTCAATTAATCATGTGATTGGGTCTACAGATGAATAATTAGTTCGCAATTAATTGTGTGTGATCGGTTTTGTTTTATTATTGCACCTATAACTTTAGGTTTCATCTTTGAAGTCTCTTAGTTTATTTTTAAAAATAATTAATTAATCGAATGTCTCTGTTATGATTAATGGTTATGCTCTGTTTTTGAGCCTTGCTTTTGGCTCTGTTTTTAAGCTGCTTTTGAGTTCTTTGGTTATTTGGAATAAAGACGACAAAATACTATATTATAGTGAAATTATGCTTTTTACTGATTTATGTCATCGATTATTTTGGGGATAAAACTTATGTCATGAACTGATATGCTATTTATATTAAAAAAAAAAAAAAGGTATTACTAATCACTAATTAGCGATTAGTCAACTATGCGGCAACTAATCCATTAGTGACTACTTGTAGGCTTAAGTTTCTGACCAAAACTTTTAGAGAATGGAATAAATCCAAACTACAAATTGGCAATTGTATTGTATTCTTTTGTCACACTACAAATCCAAAATACTCTTACTCAATTGCTTTCACATTTCATTCACTTTATATTATTTCATGTAATTTTCATTTGGAGCCAAAGTATCATGATTTCAAATGTCCAAAACAAAATAGTTGCAATGAATAGTATGTGAAAAAACATAATTTTAATTATATACATTTTTTAAAAAAGTTCTAAAGTATGTTTGATACTCACAAAATTAAATTAGAGGTTTTTTTGAGAAAATAAAATAAATTAGAGGTTACAAGCAGTCTGACAGTTCCACAACTCTTGATGTGTTTGAGAATTTATACGTAATTATTTTTGTTGCTAAAATTGGTTACAAAGATTGAGAAAACAGTCATGTTTCTCTCTTTATAGAAATATCCAAATATAGAAAACAACAAAAAACATGGAGAGAAAAAGTTAATTGATACAAAAACAAAGAAACCTGTCCACAAATAAATTATAATGGCTTTCCATACATAACGGGAAAACTTTCTAAATATAGAAGTTCACTTTTTTCGTCTTATTATTTAAACAACAACATTTACGTTGTCCAAACTTCGCAATACGATTCATCTACCAAAAAAGGCTTTAGGCCAAACAGAAATAACGACCTAAAGCCATGTTTAAAGCTTAGCAGTTCTCCATATATATTTAAATATATAAAAAGATTACCCCTTTAAGAAAAAGAAAAAGGAATTAATATAATTTGTTTTCTGTGAAAAAGGGGTAATCAAATAAAATGGAGACGGCTAGGCTTTTCAAATTAGTGTGTGTGATTTGTATTGCCAGTTTGATTCCGACCCTACGAGCCAATGTTGCGGAGACCGATGAGTATTGGGTAAAGAAGGCCAATGAAGCTCGTAAACATACCCTTTTGGCTTATCATCCCGATCCTTATGCGATCGTCGACCACTTCCATGAGCGTCATTACGAGTAAGTCCGTTTATATTTCGAATCCGACCCGATTTGTCTAGTTGAAATTATCCGTGTTTGATTGTGATCGAGAGAGAAATTCGATCGGTTTGGATTAGTCTTGATATATTTCTAAAATTAAATACAAAAAATGAGGACTTTGAGTTTATGACAATGGTTTTGGTTTGACGTATATCTTCAGCAACTCTACTGATGTTGAGGAGGCGGAGGAACACGAGGCGGCCGCTTCCGCGGAAGAGGACGACATTGAGATAATTTCTAGTCCTACCAACAGCACAAGGCGGAGCCTAACCGGTAGAGCAAAAAAAGGAAAATGGAGCAAACTAAAGGGACCTTGCACCGCAAGCAACCCAATCGATAAATGCTGGCGTTGTCAGGCAGATTGGGCTAAGCGTCGCAAGAAGCTTGTCCACTGCGTCCGTGGTTTCGGCTACCGAACCACAGGAGGCAAACGCGGCCGCATCTACGTGGTCACGAGCCCTAGAGACGATGATGTGGTTAACCCTAAACCCGGAACACTACGTCATGCTGTGATTCAGAAAGAACCACTCTGGATCATCTTCAAGCATGATATGAGCATTAGGTTGAGCCAAGAACTGATGATTAACAGTCACAAGACAATCGATGCTCGTGGCGCTAACGTGCACATCGCATATGGTGCCGGAATCACAATGCAGTACGTGCGCAATATCATCATCCATGGGCTTCACGTCCATCACATTGTCGAGGGCAGTGGTGGTTTGATTAGAAATTCGGTTGACCATTTTGGGCAAAGAGGAAGGGCTGATGGTGATGGTATCTCTATCTTTGGAGCAACTAACATTTGGCTTGACCACATTTCTATGTCTAAATGCCAAGATGGTCTCATCGACGCTATAATGGGCTCCACTGGAATCACCATCTCTAACTCTCATTTCACCCACCACAACGATGTGAGTATTCAAATCCATATACATGCCTATTAGAACTTGGTAATGACAAATCAAGCTAAATGAACTTGATA